TTGGGTTGGCCGGGAAAAGATTTAGAGGGTGGAAAAATCTGTTGACGAACACCTATCTTAAGGATGACAAAGGAAAGTGGCTGGAAGAGTTCCCGTCCGGAAGGCCAGAAAAGTATAATCTTTTCATTAAACAAGAAGATTGGACTGAGTTTATTAGACAAAGAGATGACGAATTCCGGCAAAAGAGTGCCAAAAATAGTGAGAGAGCATCAAAGCCCGCGTATCCATACAAAAAAGGGCGTTTGGGATATGCACGCTTAGAGGAAAAAATTGTAAGTAATAAATAGAAATGATATGTTCTTATTAATTGTCTAAATGTGTTGTATTTGACGATCTAACCGTTTGTTTCTATGCATAGTTAGAGGAGACGAAAAGTGATGAAACCTCACTTCCAGCACATTTGCTGTGGAAGGAAGCTCGTGTGGGCAAGAATCAAGCTGTTGATCCAAGTGTTCTAAGAATTTATGATGAATGCGTAAGTATAACATTGTGTCTTTAATTAAATCAAATTTTTATGACTATTTAATTGATTTTTTTATCTCCATTATTTTCAGGAGACATTGTCACAAACGGAGTCCACCGGTGGCGACCAGGATACGAGGAGCGTACTTAGTAAAGCACTGAATGTTCCTGAGTATTCCGGTCGGGTGAGGGGTAAAGGTCATGGTGTGACTCCAACCTCTTTCTACCAGCATTCTCGGAAAAGAAATCCTACCAATGCAGAAGTGATGAATGTACTTATGGAATTACAAGCAAAAGTCAATGCATTGGAAAGAGATAAAGAGGTATTAATGAGGGAAAAGGGCAATGCGGCAATGGCGAAAGAAACTAGTGACAACGCTAGTATCAACCGTCAGAATAAATTTCCTGAGGTAATTATAAATATATTGATAAATCTCTATTGTTCAAGTTTCTCATTTTTATTCCACCTCTTTCTATTATTGAATTAAAAGTAATATGTATGCATATTGGTTTAGGGCATTTCATCTTGCCAACTATACGTAATGGCATCAGATTATCACCTTGTTGGCAAGGGAAAAGTGTACAACACTTTGGGAGATTTAATTCATAATACACCGATCCCGGCTGGACACCTGAGAGTATCAGTAGATTATCCTATTGATCCCGATGCGTTGGTACCGGTACCTGACGTGGCCTTGGATATAAGATCGGTTCGAGACGCAGTAGGGTCGTTTGTTGCATGGCCCTTGGACCTCATTTTCATTGATGATGAGGTATGTTTAAAACCGTTAATATGAATCATTTAGATTTCAAATGTCAATTCTGAACCGTTAAGTTAATTATTTTTTAATATTAGCCTCCTACAAAACCCGCTAATAAGGGTAAGGAGATTTTGCAGCAAGGCGGCGAGTCTATGGCATCAATTCCAGAGGTACACTTAAATTGTTTATTATATGATATGAATTTAAAACTGAACGATTTTATAATTTACCTAAGTTATATGATTGTTAGGTATCTACGAAAGTGTCACAACAAGTGACCCAGCCTATTCGTAGTAGACCACCCCCGAAAAAGTCAATGCATAAGGGGGGAAGAGGCGGGGGAAGAGGCGTTTTTGTACCTCGATATCGGAATACACTTGGAGTACTTTTGGAAACCTCAGATTTGAAGTCAGGTGGTATTCGTCTAATCCTTATGGATGCAGATATCTTTGGTCTTGACTGCCAAGAAACGATAGGAATGGACGAAATGACTGAGATTATGACGCATGGTGAATTAGGCATCGGCAATGTTCACGCATACATCCGGTATTCCGATAAATATATCATTTAATTAGTTGAACAATTTATTTACACATTTCAATGAAAATAGTCTAATGTTTATATGTTTTTATTTAAGGTTGTTGTACGATAAAAAAATGCACGAGACTGTATTGGCAAGACGCTTCCATTTCTTGTCTGCCCATATTGTCAGCGGAGCGACAATTGTCAGGGAACCGGGTTCAGTTAGGGAGTACTTAGTGAATCGATACACGGCCTACGTCGGCAACCCAGATAGCTTGTTTATTTTGCCGTATAACACTGTTCCAGTGGGGTGAGTTTTTCATTTATTCTAATATATCTTTGTTTATTTTGCGTAGAAACTTTTCTTCTAAACTGTTGCTTAAATTTTTAGAAAACACTGGTTGTTGTTGGCTATCGATCCGATTAAAGAAGTTGTGTACTTTCTGAATTCGGTAGACGGGGAATGGACTAACTATCCCGCTATGAAGGAAACTGTTGATCAGTAAGTGAGATCGTTCTAACTATTCGTGTATATTTATATATTTAATTATTTCTGTGAGATTGATCTAAATATATGTTTTTATTTTCTTAGATCAATACAAATATTTCGTAGTCAAAGGGACGCACAGGTACCCCGGAGTAAATCATCAAATATTACTTGGATCAAAGTGCAGGTACAAAATTAGTTGCTTATAATAATAGTTATGTTACTTGATAAAATTACACGACAACTATAAAATATATTCTGTTTTTCTATGCAGTGTCCGTTACAGAATAACGATGTAGATTGCGGATACTTTTGCTTGAGGTTTATGAAAGAAATCCTTCATAAAAATCAAGTAGAGATTCCAAGCACGGTATGGATTTATAACTTAGAATAATTTTGTATGATTTCTACATTTAATAACATCATGCATATACTGAAGTAATAATTTCTTATGTAGTACTTTGATGACCTCTATACTATGTCGTACACGAAAGTTCAAGTGGAAGAAGTCAAAGAGGAAATATGTCAATTTTATGTTGAAAACAGATTATTCTGATGGGTATGAATAAAATATTATTGTACGTGTTAGTTTGATTGTGTTGGAGCCTTTAATATTGTTTGTTTAATTTACCGTGTTGTTCATATTCATATTTTGCAGGATGACGACCGTGTCGGTGGAGCATTATTTTCGATGTAATTATATATGATTTAGTTACATATGTATATATATATGGTTACAAATTAACACGATACTTTGTATGTGATTTAGTTATGGTTACAAATGTATATATGGTTACAAATTTAGTTATATATGATTTAGTTACATATATATAGATAAGGATTGAATATTATATGGTATACCGGTTTCTGTTAATATAATACCGATTTCTTAAAATATATGTATAGATAGGGATTGAATTACAGGTTAAATTATTGGACCAAAAAAAAATTACAGGCCGCACAGGGAACCTCAAATTATAGGTTTCACTTTAAAAAATTTGTATGAGCTACGAAAGCGCTTTTGGCTAAAAAGCGCTTTCGTAGGCAGGATAAATAAAAAAAAAATTAAATAGAAACCCCCTATCAAAGCGCTTTTTATGGAAAAAGCGCTGTGAAAGACCCCCCTATCAAAGCGTTTTTTCCATAAAAAGCGCTGTAAAAGCCATGATAAATAAAAAAACAAAAATTAAATAGAACCCCTATCAAAGCGCTTTTTATGGAAAAAGCGCTGGGAAAGACCCCCTATCAAAGCGCTTTTTCCATAAAAAGCGCTGTAAAAGGCCTGATAAATAAATAAAAAAATTTAAATAGCACATCTATCAAAGCGCTTTTCAAAAAGCGCTGGGAAAGACCCCCCTATCAAAGCGCTTTTTAAGGAAAAAGCGCTGGGATAGGTCCACCTACGACAGCGCTTTTGGCCAGAAAAAAGCGCTTTCGTAGCCTACGCCAGCGCTGGCTACGGCAGCGCTTTTAAGCGCTTTTAAAGGGCAAAAAAAAGCGCTGTGAAAGCCCATTTTCGTAGTAGTGTGAGGGTTCGTACTGTGCTGGGCGTGAAAACGGTGTTCTGAAAATAATAAGCTTATTATGTATACTAAGCGTGTTTTTTTTTTAATAACAGGACTTTAGACAGCGCTTTTTAAAAGCCCTACTTAAACCCACCCTTTATCAGCGCTTCTAGTAGAAAGCGCTGTGTAATCTCCCATTTAGGCAGTGCTTCTACAAAGCGCTGCGTAAGCCCACCCTTTAGGCAGCGCTTTGTAAGCCCACCCTTTAGGCAGCGCTTTTCCAAAATACTACAGTACCTACTCTATTTAGCAGTGTTTATTACAAGCGCTTTCTAAAACTCCCCTTTAACATCACTTTATCAAACCACTTTTACTCCATTAGACAACGCTTTTTAAAAAAACACTATTTATAGTATGCGACCAAATTAGCGTGTTTTTGAAGTGGACTTTTAGCAGCGCTTTTGATAAAAAAGGCTGCCTAAAATATATTGTCTAATCGACGTAGTATTAGTTTATGGTGGTTTGTGTGAGCTAAGATATAAACTTGTCTACCTCTACTTTAGTATGTATATATTGCTTTAATTTTTTTCTCTTTTTGTTTGAGCTTGTTGGCTTCTACCTTTGCTTGTTCTTAGAACCTTCTTGACTGTTTGTTTTTCATTGTTGATTTAATACATCTTTTATTAATCACGTCCCCTTCCTTTATTTATATCAATGAATGGAGAAGTTGTACTAAAAAAATCATCTTCTATTGCTTAATGTGAATAAAAAGTCTCTATCTTCATGTTAGTATGTAATAATATTTTGACTTTTCGGGTGTGAAATAGAAATTTATTTACTCTATATAAATGGAAGATCGTAGATATTTTAAATCAATGGTCATTGAATGAATTATATTTTTGACTTTTTATTAATCTTGTAGCATCGTAGTATTATCACATATTTGAACATAATTATATACGTTCAAATACTCTTTTTAATGACAAAATAATACATTTATAAATATTATCACATGCTTTTGAATATATATTATCATATAGATACTCATCATCTGATGCTTATTACTAATATATATCATATTTCAACCTTTCCACAACATACACATATTCAAACTAGTAAAAAAAAAGTGGCAAATATAAAAAACATACAGCAACAACAAAAATACAGAAAAAAGTTTTAGTATAACAAAAAGGACAAAGAATGCAATTAACACAAAACCCAAATATTATTAGTTAAGATTGATGATCTTGTAAAATTCATGGTTCAAAATAAACCCTTTTCCTTGCAACTTTGAATGGCATCCTCAAACATTTCCTCAATACTATGTTTGAACTCAAATCCAGCATCAGTGAGTTTCTTTGATGTTAAATGTGGAAGCTCTAGACCTTTAGGCCCCCCAAGCAATCTATAGAAAAAGAAATAAATATTAGTATCAATTAAAGAAAGTTCACATTGATTTAGAATATAGAAAACAAACTCACTTGGACTTTGGAATTTGAAATTCAGGATGCTTTGAAGAAACAATGTCAACTACTTCCTCAACAGTTGCAACGAATGGTGAACAATTGTATCTCCCTTTTGGATTAGGATGTTCAAGTAAGAATATATGTGCTCGCGCAACATCGTCAACATGCACCATATGGAAACGAGATATTGGACTGTGGTCAGTATTACCTGAATGCAACTTTCAATTGTTAATTTTGTTTAACTATTAGTATGAATATTCAATATAAAAAAAAATCACTTACCAAATAAATAAGGTAGTACACCATAAACAGAGGTAGGAAGCTTAGGGCAAATGAAGGCTCCAACAATAATAGTTGGTATAATAGTCACAATATCCAACCCATTTTGTTGTCCGTACTCGAGAACAGCTTTCTCCGCTTGTGTCTTAGAAATTGAATAAGCCCAACCAAATGGTTTATGATTTCTAAGAATGTCTATATCGCTCCAATAACTTTCGTCCATTACATCCTTTGCTTTTTCTATGTCTTGACAATAAACAGCAGAAGCACTTGAAGTGTAAATCACTCTCTTCACAGTCTTAGAGTTTTTGCAGGCTTTAAGAATTCCTAATGCTCCATCAATGCTTCTTTTTGTCACTATTTCTTCTGGTTCTTTCTCTTCAAAATCAACCGAAGCGGCGGTGTGGAATATTCCAACGCACCCTTCAATTGCTGGGTTGAAACTTTCTGGTTCGGCAAGATCAGCAATGAAAAATTTTAGTTTTTCAGATGCTCCTGGAAGATTTGTGAGAAAGCTAAGATCTCTCTTTTTCTCTGGATCAGCTCTAACAGTGGTATTAACAGTGTAACCATTTTCAAGGAGACTCTTGATGATCCATGAACCAAGAAAACCTGTACCTCCTGTTACACAAACTCTTCCTTTTCCTTCTGCCATTATCACACTTTTGTTACTTTTGTATGAATGTTTTTGTTAGTTCTGTATGAATGTTTTTGTTAGTTCTGTATGAATGAATGTTGATGGTCACATACAAATTTATATATATAGACACATCCAATGTTGTTGGTCATCACCTTTCTTCCCAATATTATTATATCAATATTTATCCTTTCCCATTACACATTCCTAAATAAACAAATTTAATGGTTGGAACGTGTAATAAAAAAATTCGTATGTTCTAGAAGTTGAATTTCCATCTTATAGTTTATTATTAATTCCCGCAGACAATTTTGAAATAATGGCGCGTTATCTCTCTGAATCAATTTGACTATGGATGAAAATGGAACTATACGGCAATTGAAACTAGGACATATAATAGTAAGGTTGAATAACTTTTATGATCTTAATTCGGTGATATTTTCAACGGTCAAATAAAGAGACATATTTGGAATATTATGGGCTTTTTGTTTTGCTTTTTTTTTTTTTAAATAATTTCTTTTAATGTTATATATTTTTGAGTAAAAAAATTATAAATAAACTTTTTATAAAATGTAAAAATCTTTACATAAAAATTTAGTTTGAATAATTATTCTTAAAATGTTATTTTACAATATATCATTATTTTATTAAAACTTTTTTAAATATTAAAATTTCATTAAAAAATCATTTAATTTTAAAACTATTTCAAATAATTTTTTATAAAAAATATTTTTGAAATATAATTTTTTTTAAATTGCAATTTCGACTATATTTTAATCTTCTATAATATAAATTGATATTATAAAATATCAAAATTAATCTTTCAATTTAAAATATATATATATATATATATATATATATATATATATATATATATATATATATATATATATATATATATATATATATATATATATATATATATATATATATATATATATATATATATATATATATATATATATATATATATATATATATATATATATATATATATATATATATATAAAACCATTTTGAAAAATGGTTTTATAAAATCCATTTTTAAAAATACAAAGAAAAAAATCTATTTTTTTTAAAGTTAAAACATAAATTTTATATTTTTAGCACGTCAAATTTAAGTGTTAAAAATGTCCTTTTAAAATTTCATTTATAAGAAAGTCTTGGCTAAAAAAAACACATGGGAAAAGAACAACGCTTTTTGTAAAGCGCTATGGATATTTAATTAAAAATAAATTTTTTATATAAATTTTAATTGATGGATTTGTTGTTTATTATAAATAAACAATTATTTAATTTGAGTTAATTTCTTCTCTTTTAATTTTGCTTTCCTTAATCAACCTCTTACATTGTCATTCGCATAACCCTAGTCATAGTCGTTGCTCCGTTTACAATTTGTTGTGTTCTCTTGTAGTCATTTGTGTATCTCAAACACTTGTCTCGTAGCCATTAACTTAGTATTTAACTTAATTCATATCTTCTTTTTGTTTTCTTTCTTAAAACGTTTGTTAAGATTTGAAAGAAGATAGTAAAAATCAGGAGATAGAGGTTTCTGACTTTGCTTTGTGTCTCCTTGTTGGAGAGGGATTTTCCTTCTAAGCGCCTAAGGAGAAAACCCCTCAAAATGGTTCTGAGATAATTTAGTTAAGAAAGTTGGCTCTAATCTTCTTACAATGATATGGAAGGATACTTGGGGTAGAGAAAATGCATTTTAGAGCTATGATTTCTTGGCTTTTTTCTATGTTTGATTAAAAGAATTACTCATTGGGAGAGGTTGATAAGTGGGTGGGGGAAAACTTGGGTTTGAGATCTTCAATGGGGTAAGATCTCACTTTTTTAGCTTTAGCAGGTTTTGATATGTAATCTTCACTACGCTAAAATTGACTTTTGGCATCACCAAAAAGACAGCGCTTTTATGAGAAAACACTGCTGTAGGTCTTTTAAAAAATTCGCTAAAAAAAAGTGCTGCTACAGACAACCTTTAGAAAGCGCTTTTAAAAAGCGCTGCTAAATGCCCTACCTTAGAAAGCGCTTTAATGAAAAAACGCTGCTGTAGGTTTTTTAAAAAATTCGTTAAAAAAAGCGCTGCTACACCCAGCCTTTAGAAAGCGCTTTTACAAAGCGCTGCTAAAGGCCTTAAATTCGCTCACTTAAGAAAGCGCTTTCTCGTGAAAGCGCTGCTAGATCTTTTATGATAGAAAGCGCTTTTAAAAAGTGTTGGCTTAGGTCAAATTATAAAATTAAAATATAAAATTTCTCCACCTAAAAAAGCGATTTCTCGTGAAAGCGCTGCTATATCTTGTATTATAGAAAGCGCTTTTAAAAAGCGTTGTCTTAGGTCAAATTTTAAAATTAAAATATAAAATTTTCAGAACCCTATTCATTCATTTCTAATCGCTGTAATCGTTTCTTCTCCGCGACCATTTCTTCTCCTCTCCGGCTGATTCTTCTTCGTCCGTTCAGAATCATTTCTTCTCCGACCGCCGTAGTTCAGGTACGTCATTCTTCTTGTTCTATGTGTTCAATGGTTCTTTCTGTTGTATGTGTTCAGTGTTCAGTGTTCAGTCTTAGATAGAGTAGAAAAGAACATGGTTCAAGTAGGAAGGTGATATGATGAAATTATTAACTACTGCATAAACTGTTCATGGATGAGGATGTTGTATTGCATAGTTTGATATGTGTTAGCCCCATATATTTGTCATTTCATTTTTATTTTTTTCTTTATTACAAGTTAATGGCTAGTAATCAAGAAAACTCACAAGATACAAATGCTCCAGATAAGACATCAGAGGGAGAAATTACACGAGGCATCACTATTATGAGAAAAATCATTCTTGATAGAGATAAAGGAGTAAAATATGATGTACATTGGAATGATGATAACCAACTAATAGATTCTAATGGTGCAAAGTTGACAAGCTACATTGGTACACTTGCTCGTATACACGTTCCAATCACCTTTGATAAAAGAACTAATAAAGATTTGGATTCCTACAAAGACAAAATTTGAACTGATATACAGATACCATATAATTTAGCTTTAAAGTATAATGCTTTTGTTATTTTAGTCCCTAGCTAAATAAGGCTCGAGAATGTCTTATATGTATGCTTAATATTTGTTCCCTTAATGAAAATCACATGGTAATGTCTTTAAATTACGTATACTAACACACTATAATGCGTATGTTTTTTCGTAGAGGTCTTTTAACATTGAAGACAACCGAAAAAAGTATTGTCTTCAAGTGGCCAGAAAAGGACACCGAGGGTGGAGAATTTTTTTAACAAACAAATTTCTTAAGGATGAGCAAGGAAATCTTGTTAAAGCGGATCGTCCAATGAAGTATAGCAACTTCATTGGACCCGAAGAATGGGATGAATTTGTATCCAAACAAATAGAAAATGAGAAATTCAAGAAAGTGAGTGACACAAATCGCGAGAGAGCATCAACACACACGTATCCATACAGAAAAGGGCGGTTGGGATATGCATGCTTACAGCAAAAAATTATAAGTACATATAAATGCTACGACCTTATTAATTGTCTCAATGTGTTATAATTGATGATCTTATGATTTGTGTCAATGCGTAGTTAGAGGAGACGAAAAGTGACGAAACATCACTTCCGACGCATGTTTTGTGGAAGGAAGCTCGTGTGGGCAAGAATGGAGTTGTTAGGGAAGATGTTCAACATATTTATGATGAATGTGTAAGTATAACATTGTGTCTTTAAGTAAATCAAAAGTTTATTAGTATATACTTAATTTTTTTCATCTCCACTAATAATTTTCGATATATATGTAAATGAATTTCAGGAGACTTTATCTCAATCGGTAACCACGGATGAGGACCAGGATAACAGGAGCGTACATAGTCGTGCACTAAATGTTGCTGAGTATCCCGGTCGGGTGAGGGGTAAAGGACATGGTGTGACTCCATCTTCCTTATATAAGCATCCAAGGAAAAGAAATCCTAGCAATCAAGAAGTGATGCAAACGTTGAAGGAATTAAAGGCGCAAGTCCGTGAATTTCAACAAGATAGAGAGGGATATATGGCACAAAAGTGAATTTCAGAGGCGAAAGAAACTAGTGACAAAGCTAGTATCAATTGTCAAAATAAATTTCTCGAGCTAATTATGTATGTTATTATGAAATTAAACTAGCACATTTATTTTAATTGATATATATATATATATATATATATATATATATATATATATATATATATATATATATATATATATATATATATATATATATATATATATATATATATATATATATATATATATATATATATATATATATATATATATATATATATATATATATATATATATATATATATATATATATATATATATATATATATATATATATATATATATATATATATATATATATACACATTAACAATAATATATTTATTATTGGTTTAGGGAATTTCATCTTGTCAGTTATACTTATCGTCACCGACTTATCGCTTAGTTGGCAAGGGAAAAGTGCATAACACTTAGAGAGATTTACTTCACCATAGACCGCTCCCTGATGGACATATGAAAGTATCGGTTGATGTTGCATTAGATCTGGATGCGTTTCTACCGGTACCTGACATTATTTCAGAGACAACATTGCTACGAGATGCAATAGAATCATTTGTTGCATGGCCGTCGGACCTTATTTTCATAGATGATGAGGTATGTTGAAAATCATTATGAATCTTTTAGTATTCAAGTTTCAATTATGAACCATTACGTACATTTTTATTACATGTTAATTTCAGACTCCTACAAAACCCGCATCTAAGGATAAAGAGATTTTGCGGCACAGCGAGTCTATTGCATCATAAAAAGAGGTACATTTAAAGTGTTAATCATATGATTTGAATTCAAAAACTGCATGATTTTATAATTTACCTAAGTTATATGATTTTTAGGTACCTGATCAACGGTCACAACAAGTGATCCAAAAATTTAGTAGCATACCCAACAAGAAAAATGATCTTCCAAGATCCAGGGAAA